GAAATTAACCATTCCCCCTCCTCTCTCCCACCAATTCCCTGGTGAATACAGATCCAAACCCCTTGGATCTTAAAACAAGGAGAAATTAACCATTCCCCCTCCTCTCTCCCACCAACTCCTGGTGGATCAAGATCCAACCCCCTTGGATCTAAGAACAAGGAAAAATCAATCAGGTTCTTAAAAAGAAGGCTTTTAATGAAAGAAAAAGGTAAAAATCATCTCTGTAAAATCAGGATGGAAAATAACTTTACAGGGTAATCAAATTTAAAGAGCCCAGAGGAATCCCCCTCTAGCCTTAGGTTCAAAGTTACAGCAAACAGAGGTAAACACCCTAGTAAAAGGTACATTTACAAGTTGAGAAAACAAAGATAAAACTAACATGCCTTGCCTGGCTGTACTTACAAGTTTGAAATATGAGAGACTTGTTCAGAAACATTTGGAGAGCATGGATTGATGTCTGGTCCCACTTAGTCCCAAGAGCGAACTCCCACCAAAACAAAGAGCACAAACAAAAGCCTTCCCCCCACCAAGATTTGAAAGTATCTTGTCCCCTTATTGGTCCTTTGGGTCAGGTGTCAGCCAGGTTACCTGAGCTTCTTAACCCTTTACAGGTAAAAGGATTTTGGAGTCTCTGGCCAGGAGGGATTTTGTAATATTGTACACAGGAGGGCTGTTACCCTTCCCTTTATAGTTATGACAGCGCCAGAGACTGTTAACCCCTGCCCTGCTGGGTGTGCGCACCAACTGAATCAACAATCTCTTACGCACAATGCTCATTGGGTGTACATTGTCCATGCTCTGTGTTGCCACTGTTTACTTTGTTTCATTACTGTGTGTCCCAACTTGCAGCCAAAGGAGGGGACTCTTCCCTTCATGATCCCAGTTCTGGTTTCAGCTCTTATGGCACCCAAAGTCATAGCTGCCATGATTCCCAGTTTGGCCCATATTGGGGAATATCGTTAAAGGTGTATGAATGTAACAGCAGAATCTGGCCCCATTAATGGTCTCACGGCCCTCTATACAATAGGTATTTATTATCACCACCATTTTACAAATGGTTAATCTGAAACACAGAAATGCACAGTGATTTGCATGGGATTCCTGGTCCCATGTCACACTGTGGCTCTGTAGCAGAACTGGAATGACAGCCTAGAAATTCTGACTCAGTCCCCAGTGTACAGTGTCTAAGAATAATGCCATGTTAATTCCGTAGGATTGTAGTTCTGTCCCAAGTTTGGTATAGTTAATATGGTAACACAGTAGATAGCAGTTTACAGGATGCACGAGAGCTTATCTAGTTTGCAGCCTGCAATGGCATTCAGCACTGACTCTGAAAGCAATTTTATGCCTGAGGACTCAGATAGGAACTCTACAACCCCTGTGAAGAAATTGACAAGTGATTGTGATGAGGCGGCTGAGTCAGAGACTGATGCGGGAGCTAAGATAGAACTCTGGCATGAGCAGACACATGAGCTTTGAACCCTAAAGATATTAGAGAAGATATAAGAGAGAGATTAGAGAACCCAGCAATTGCAGGTAACCTCCTTAACTAGAATGCCTGCTGATGGATCAGACACATGTAATTTCAACCCTGTCCCACTTTTTTCTATTGTGCATGACAATCTCTTCTCACAAGATTGCCCAGACTAACAGTCTGCAGCATTTATTAACCAGGACTGTTGTGGTGTCAATTATATGGGTTAGATACTGAATTTCTTAAGCAGTGAATGGGCAGTATGAAGTAAGGATTGGTTGTCAGGCAGCTGGGATTGGGTGGAGGGATGGGGTGAGATATAGAGCCCCCATTTTGCAGCCCCCAGTCAGTAATGTATTAAACCAGTTTTGGCACTTGCCCTACGAGAACTATTTTCAAAAATCATAAACATGTGTATAATCCACTGTAGAACAATACAAAGGAAAGAGCCAGCTAATCCTCCCAGGACAACGAGGACTCTAGCTTTACAGCACCATGGGCTTTTCTGTGTTTATTGAAGCTTTTTCAGCAGCACAAAACTCCATAAACGTTCCACAAAGCCCCCCAGTGGTTCTGAAATATCAACTGGTACGACTTTCTGGATGAAGGTATGTGATAAATGGAGGGGGCGGGGGGAGCTCCCTTTTATAGACCCAAGCCAGCCAGTTAGCTATAAAATCCCTCTTACTGGCTGTTCTCTACTTGCTTTACCTGTAAAGGGTTAAAAAGTCTCCCTGCATAGGTAAAAGGAAGGGAGTGGGCACCTGAGCAAAAAATCCAATGGGAGGCTAGAACTTTTTAAAATTGGGGGAAAAACTTCCCCTTTGTCTGTCTATATTGTTCTCCCGGAGAGAAGGGACAGAGCAACTATACTGTAAGAAGCTTGGGGCCAGATATGAAAAATCATTTGAATCATACCTATAAACTACTCACTTGAAACCCCAGACATGTAAGTAGATCAGGAAATGTCTAGGAAGATGCAATTAGGTTTATTTCTTTTTATTTCTTTATGGCTTGTGGACTCCTCTGTGCTAACCCCAAATGCTCATGTTTTGCTGGTAACCGTTAAGATGGACCTCAAGAACGTCATTCTTGATGCTGAATTTTTGTAAAGTGGATTTTTTAAATCTAGCAATAGCCTGAGTTTTCAATGTATTTTCTTTTTCTTTTTAGAAAATTTACCTTTTTTAAGAACAGGATTGGATTTTGTGTCCTAAGAGGTTTGTGCCTATGTTGTTTAATTAGCTGGTGGCAATAGCTGATTTCCTTTGTTTTCTTTCTCAGCTCTTCCCCGAGGTGGGGGTGAAAGGGCTTGTGAGTACCCCACAGGAAGGAATTCCCAAGTGCTCCTTCCTGGGCTCTCAAAGGGGTTCTGCACTTGCTTGGTGGCAGCATCTACCCATCCAAGGTCAGAGAAAAGCTGTAACCTTTGGAGTTTAATATAAGCTTGAGTGGCCAGTATTAATTTTTAGAATAATTGCAGGCCCCCACCTTCTGAACTCAAAGTGCCAGAGTGGGGAATCAGCCTTTACAGGGTAATAGACGAGTGGCCTCTGGCCGGAGCTTTTGAATCATTACCACTTGCATTTCCTTACTGGAGGAGGTGGCAGAATCTGCGTGGGAAGACCTTGAAGAAAATGAAGCACAGCTTTATAATTAGCATGAACTACCTAGAGTTGTGGTTGATCACAAAGAAGGAGTTGAGCAGTAAACCATGTTTGGTGTCAGAGCAACAGCATCCTGTGCCTAAGGAGCATCTGTGGGTTAACACTGTCCTACAGAAGGACATGGTCTGTGTTTTTAATGGCAGCTGAAAACCATAACAAATTAATATTCAACTACAGTAGTGAAGCCAGACAGCCATTCAATAAACGTCATGGATTAAAATACAACAGTTTGTTTTATCGCTACTATAGGGCCACACTACAGCTGCTTCTTTCCAGAATACTAGTGCTCTCATCTTTGAGGTTTGCATCCATAGATGGGTCTCTGATGCTATAGCAAACTAAAGATGTTTCTCATTGGTTGCCTGGGTCAGTTGACACTGTTAGGGTACGTCTACACTACCCGCCGGATCGGCAGGTAGTGATCAATCTATCAAGGATTGATTTATCGCATCTAGGGTAGACGCGATAAATTGATCCCCGATCGTTCTGCCGTCCACTCCTGTACTCCACCGCGGCGAGAGGCGGAAGCGGAGTCGACGGGGGAGCGGCAGTAGTTGACCATGCGTCATGAGGATGCAAGGTAAGTCGACCTAAGATACGTTGACTTCAGCTATGCTAGTCTCGAAGCTGAAGTTGCGTATCTTAGGTCAATTTCGCCCCCCTCCCCCCCAGGGTAGACCAGGCCTCAGTGATCACTAGCTGAATGGTGCTTTACTCCTTCAGTGTACAGTTACAGTAACTTGTAAGTTGTGTAGGAGAGTGGCCACCAAATAAGGCAAGACTGAGATCTGTGTTTAAAGGTGAGTACTTGGTTGCACTGAAATATGCTCTCACTCGACTACATTCCTTATGTACAGCTGAGCAATCCATTATGTTCACTTCAAAATATTCAAATCTTCAGGTTTAGATGAGCCACAGTATCAGCCATCTCCCTAAATATCCATATTACAATACAGCAAAGCAATGATCACAGTTAATTGCAATGAAACGTCACTAATTTGAAGCGCTGAAGGTTTGTAGATACTTCACCATCGGAAGAATTAGGTGATGACCCGATCCTGCAAACCCTATTTCTTAGGGCTGATCTACACTTGGGGGAGAGGGAGGGAGTCGATGTAAGATACGCAACTTCAGCTACGTGAATAGGATAGCTGAAGTTGACATGTCTTATTTCAACTTACCTCCCGTCCTCACGACGCGGGATTGACGGCTGCGGCTCCCCTGTTGACTCCACTACCGCCGCTCGCCCTGGTGCAGTTCCGGAGTCAACGGGAGCGCATTCGGGGATCGATATATCACGTCTAGACAAGACGCGATATATCGATCCCTGATAGATCGATCGCTACCCGCCGATCTGGCGGGTAGTCTGGATGTACCCTTGGAATGAATCCTTACTCGTGACAAGAGTCCCCTTGAATTCACTTAAGTGAATAGGGTGTGAGTAAGGGTTTGCTTGATCAAGTCCAAAACAAGGGTGTGATTCAAAGCCCAGTGAATTTGAAGGTAAGACACTCATTGATTTCAATAGGCTTTGAATGAAGTCTTAAGAATATGGTGACCACTGGAGAAAATTTCCCTTAATATATATAGGGTGAAATCATGGTCCCATTGAAGTGAATGGGAGTTTTACCATTGATTTAAATGGGACCAGGACCACTCATAATATAGTATCTATTCTCCCTTATATACATATACTCTATTATTTGTACAGAATTTATAATCTTTATAACATGAATCCTATTCAGCTAAGAATAAACACCAAACCAGCAGGGATTTATTCATATGACAAGTGCATTTATTATATGAATTTAGTTGAATCAACATCTAATGTATGGCTTTTCTTCACTAGGGGGCTCAAATGTGCAATGACTTGAACACCACTAATTCCTGAAGTTTCCAAGAGATGTCCTGGTTTAACATCAGCACAGTATCAGGGCGCTGTGGTGTTAGGTGCTGTACAAACAGAGGTAAATATGGTCCCTATCCTGAAGAGTTTACAATCTTTCTATGTTTCCCTTATTAGCTCACTGAAATAAGACTAACAAAATGTGGATATACGTTACTGCCAGTATTCAAATACCATTTTTTGCCACTAGAGCTAAAAATAAAGCCATCAGATGGCATCTGTTAAAAAGGTTGAAAACTTGAACAGCCATGCCAACCATTTTGAGACAAGAACATAAATGGATGCATGGCTAAACCATTGGTCAGAGCCTCAGCTAGAGTAAATTGGTCTAGCTCCATTGAAGTGAATGGAGCTACGCTGATTTACCGCTGCTAAGGAACTGTCCCTATATAAACACAATTTTGATAGATTCTTTGTTTTGCTTTCATTCACATAGATCCACCATGCATGCATTTCCTGTGTAAAATTACCTTTTTATTTTTGGTGAAGGCAAACAATAAAAGTGACATCCTGATGAGAGGTGGGGTTGGGGGTGTACAAATCTTGTCTGTTTCAGGCTAAAAATCAGCTCTGGAAACTAAGTAGTTGGTGAAGTCTCCACATAAGCAGAAATTTAGGAATTAGAAATTGAAAGCTGCAGTACACAGAAAATAAACAAATCTACCCATACTTAACTCACCCATAGTTTTGTCTGTATACATCACAATTACGGGCTTAATCTGGATCCATTTTAGAACTAGCCCAGATTTAGCCCTAATTTTAAAGAAGCTAATTATCAATAACTTTGTAAGTAAAATGTGAAACATCCTGGAAATCAGCCTTGCAGCTAATGACTCAGAAGCATTTCCTGGTATTACCCTGACTCTGTGCTGTTTCCCCCCCCTTCATCTTTCATAATGCTCTGTGCAGAGTGTCCTTGGTTCCTACTCCTTAGATAAACCATTCATGGAGTGTAACAAAATATTTGAATCTGTGCAGCCCCTTTCAGCCTACACACAGTGTGACATTTTGGAAAAGCCGGTCAGGCCCACGTACAAGGATATCCAATAATAAGAAACATGAGATTAAATTGCTGCAAACACAGCAACTCCTACAAATGAATCTCTCTCTCCTATCAACAGGTTCTAATGAAACGGAGGCAGTTTTGTCAATGTTATCTTTGGTCTGTTTATGCAGAAGGGAAAAAAAAGTTTCACCAAGAGGTTCCTTGCTGATAAACAATAAGCTTACTTGAGTAGGACCAAATTCTGTCCTGGGATGGGAGTTTTGTGCATGTGTTAGAGAACAGAATTTGACTCTTAAACTTTAAGGGCTGGACTCTCAGCTGATGTAAATCAACATCCGTCCACTAAACTCAATGGATACATGCCTGTGAACTCAGTGGATCTATGTCACTTTACATCAGGTGAGGATCTGGCCCAAAATTAGTTCATTACAGTATGAGAGATGTCCAAGTAAGGAATTTACATCCACTACCTGATCCACTGTCTGCCTTTGAAAACTGGTCAGACACTGGTGGGTGGTTGGCTACACCATGTAGCTTACAGCACGGTGTTTGGCAGATCCTGAAGGACAAAGAATGGTGAGTGAGATAGAACTGTTGGTAGGATACATGTAGTTCTGAATCCCTCTATAAGGGTTATACAACGAAGCAGGGGTGCTGGAACAATTTGTATAGTATGTGGGGGGGGAGCTGAGTGCCATTGACCCAAACTGTAAACCCTGAATATGATAATTAACTCTTGCTTTGTGCAAAACAGTCATTGTAGGTAAAACTTACCACTGTGCAGGGCTGCACAAGGCCTGATCACTATGTAAGTCCTACTTAGGCCTGGTGTGGGCCTCAACACGGACATGTATTTCACTGCAGGGGACATTGTGTAATTTTAACCAGGAAACCTGACAGACCCTCTTATTTGTCCTCTGTGTCTTTAGGGAGCCAGATAGGACTTCCCCTTCATTCCTAGTGACTGAGGAGAAAACCAGTAAGGCCTCATCCAGGGTAGGTATCAGCAAAGACTCCTTTGTCCTCTCCTGGCAAGCGATGGGGGAAAGATAAAGTCCTCTCCTTATCACCTTCTGCTAGGGACACAACCAGCTTTTCAACTGGGGGTGGGGTGGGGTGGGGCTAAGTCCTCTTCTCTTCCTGGTACTTTGGCTGAGCAGGGTGTGGGGGGATCTGATTTGAGCTACCTTGTTCTGTCAGTTGTCTACACTGCAGATATCAGTTAGGTATTCTGAGAGATCCCTTTTCTGCTGCACTTCTGCTGAAGTGAAATGGCAGCAGCCAAACTAGAAAGAACACCTCTTGGCTAACTTCCTGTATCATGAACCTCCACATCTAACTGATGGTTGTGCCCTTTTATTTCTTCTTGCCATAGGAGTGGGAGCACTGTTAGGTTAGAGCAGGCGACCAGGGGTTGGTACAATTCCTGATTCTGCTGCTGACTCCTTGTGTGCCTCAGACTAGTCACTTAGGCCCAGACCCTCTAACACCTATTGATTTCAAGGGATTTAGGTGCCTAAGTATCTTTGAGGATCTGGGCCTTAATCTCTCCATACTTCACTTTCCTTGTCTGAGTATCATAACACTTCCCTTATAAGGGCTTTATGAGAATTCATGTTTGTAAATCACTTCAGTGTCCTACGATGAAAGATGTGAAAGTGCAAAGAACTGTAACAAACTGGCTAGTGGGTATATAGATCGCCACCTTCAATTGTGTTTCATATGCCGCATACTGCTAAGCGCTAAAGGCAATTGTCTTTTAGTTCAAGCTGTAGGATCCAGGGACTTTTTAAAACAAGAGGATCTGAGTTTTCTCTTTGTTACCTACATGAGGTTCCAAGCAGCCTTGGTGTGCATCACAGTGGCTACCAGGAACTGTTGCTGGCCACAGATTTGTCACCATAATATTATTTCTCCAGCTTTCTTGGGTTAATGTCCACCATGTGCTTTCTTTGGCAGCTTGTTCCAAATTCTCACCAGCCTTTTCACTGAGACATCCTGTCTTGAATTGCCTGCATTATGTTAATTCCCTTCTTCAGCTTCAGCACATATAACAGCTTTTCAAATTAGTTTTGATCACATATAAATCTGAGAGGCATCAGTCTGTTCCTGGACAATTATAAACCTCTCCAATACTTCACTTGGGCCCTGTTCTAATCTAATTACATCCTGTGTATCTCTGCTTTTAGCATACTTCTTATTAAAACTCCTGTAGTGTGTCCCCTTCTTGCATTTCAATTGTGCAGGGTAGATATTCTCCTTGCTAGACTGGTGGGGAGGAGCATTGGGGTGGGATGCATCTCAGGAACCTGCTTAGTACTTGGGAAAAAGGCATGCAACCCAGATGGAGTAGAAATAAGGCAGGGAGTGGCTACAAGAAACAAATTACACACATTCCAATTTAAAGGAAAAAAGAATCTCAGAGAAACGGGGTGCATAAGTTAAAGTGCATCTCCGGGCCACTTTAATTTGCGCGACTGGCACTCTAGTAGCAGATCCCCTGGGGTTTGCTAACCTTGGCAGTGTAACAAAGGTCACATACTCGCATGAATGAACCGTTCCTGAACAATTTCTACAACTCGCTGAGATACTAGTGGAGTTTCCCTCAGGACTGACATGCTTGTCATCTCTTTCCATCTTCCTCCAAAATGAGGAAATATTGGGGCCATCGCAAGGAAAAATGCCACTTGTCATTCACACATCTGAAACCTCCTGCATTGCAGGAGACTAGAATACAGTGCTGCACGCCGACAGGGTGCCTGTTTCTGTTAGAATTCTCATCTCTAATTCCGCAGAGCAATTAAGAGTGTTTAGGATCAGCTACAGATACAGTGGGCCCCACTATTTCTGCTGTCAGAGATAATAAACAGCAGAGTTTGCCTTTATTAATGATAGACCATCCTGTGCTAAATACCAAACAGAATAATGATGATAATCCCATGGGCCTGGCACACTCTGAAACAAAAAAAGAAGGGGAGACCCCGCCCCACAGATCTTATAAAACAGCAGAGGGAGGAGTTCGGAGCACAAAGGCAAATACAATCAGATCAGGTGGCTGCTTGAGAGAGTAACACACAGTTGGTGTTGAGGGCAGCTGCCCTGGGAACTAGGAATTCAACTCCTCAAACAACTATTCAAGTCACCTCTGCCCTTGCCCACAAAGGGAAGGGAAAGAGGAAGCACATTCCCTTCCCAGTGCCAAAGCCTCAACCCCCTATTGGGGGATAACAGCCCATATGGTCTCCCACACCTTCCTGGGTGACAGGTGTCCCTACTTAGCACTATGCAGCTGTCAGTACATCCATCTAGTCGCTCCAGCCTCAATATGATATAATCCCTAATGGGCATTCCTCTTTAATTTAAATGCTGTAGATCTGTGATTTTGGGAGGAGTGGAAGGTTTAGGGTTCCGACCTCTGTGCTGCAGACGTATAGTGCAGCTGGCAGTTTTGGTGTCTGTTCTCTGTGGCCTCAGGTTAGTTACAATCTGTACTGAAAAGGGGAGAAGGAAAACAGGAGCATTAAGCCTGATCCTTTTCTCATTTAAGTCAATGGGAATATCTCCACTGCCGCCAATGAAGACTGGATTGGAGTTGAGAGGAGATACCAATGAAAGAGGTGTTCAGAAGCAAGTATAGAGGGAATGGTTTGAAAGCTCAGAGGCAGGTGTACTGGGGATACTTGCATTGACAGAAAATATGTAAACAGATATCAGTGCAGAAGTAATTACAGCGAAACAAGTTCTAATAACAGTAAAGATGAGAGAAAAGGTGGGTTGGCTAGTTTGCCTCCTTCCAGTGACCGATTTCTTCTGCTTTAGGACCTGTTCTTTCCTCATTGAAATCGGTGGAAGTTTTGCCATGAATTTCAGTGGAAGCAGGGTCTTGTTTGCTGGCCTACTCTAAGCTGTTGGAAGCCTTGTGACCTAAGGGATCTTCAATTCCTAGGGCGGTTTCAATGGAAGCAGCACTAAGAGTGCAGGTATGATCTTGTGTAAGAGTTCCCAGTCCCTCTCTGAAGTTTATGGGGCTTTTTGAAGCACTTGGAGGAGACGAAGGTGATCAGGAACAGTCAGCATGGATTCACCAAGGCAGGGCCGGCTCCAAGTTTTTTGCCGCCCCAAGCAAAAAAAAATTCCCGTGCCCCCCCAATCCCCGCCCCAACTTCGCCCCTTCCCCACCCCATTCCAACCCCTTCCGCAAATCCCCAGCCCCGCCTCCTCCCCCGGGTGCACCGCATTTCCCCTCCTACCTCTCCCTCCCAGGCTTGCCTGGGAGGGAGGGGGGAGAAACGGAGCGGCGGCGCGCTTGGGGGAGGATGCGGAGGTGAGCTGGAGGGGGAAGCGGTTCCTTGGCCCCCCCCTCCGGGTTACTTCCTTTGGCCCTCCCTGCACCCCCCACCGCCACAGCTCACCGCCGCTATTAGGTATATTAGGTGTTATCTTCAAGCAGAATTGCATTGTTTCTGCCAGACACAGATCTGTATATCTGTTTTAGGTATGCTTGTTGTTTTAATCAATTATAGGATCAGATCATCAGCTGGTATGAATTGGTATAGTTCCACTGATTTCAATTCCACTGATTTCAGTGGAGCTTCTCCGATTTAACAAGTCGAGGACCTGGCCCTTAATCTGAAGAAATAAATGTAGCACTAATCAATTTCATATATGATCCCATGGCACCAGTGACTGAGCCAGTATTTTTTAATGGATCAGGAAAGAGTGCATATCCTAAGCTCAGTAGGCGGGAAACTGTGTCTCTTCCAGCTCATGCTAAACCACAGATAATAATCGAGTGGACTGAAAGACAGTTGCATGGAGGCAAATACGAATGCTACCAGCGTGGTCTGTCCTGTGATGCCTGTGGTGCATCAGCACGTCCTCTCTACTTGCCACGTTTGATCTGGCAGAGCGATGTGCTAAAGGGCTGCCTCAGAGCATTTCCTAGTAGCATTTCTTTTGTCCCTGAGTTTGTCTAGTTTTAACTCAGATAGCTCAAAATTATGTTTTTCTTTTACTGCCGGAACCCAGTTACAATGCCTGAGACCAGAGCATCTCTATACGAGGCAGTGTCATTTACTGGATAGGACACTGGACTCTGAGTCAGGAGAAAAAGATTCTAATCTTGACTCTGTTAGCTGTGTAACCTTGAACAAGTCTCTTCACTTCTCTGACTTTGCTTCTCCTCCTACCCTGGTCTGCCTTGTACTTAAATTGTAAACTGACAGGGACTCATTGTATTTGTACTGGAGTCATGATCTCAGAAGGGGCCTCAAGTTACCACAGTAAGAGTAACTATAAATAATAATTTATCTTCATGTATAATAAAATACTATATTCTGTAGGACCTTTCAGCCCCAATGATCCCATAAAGTCATATGCAAACTTTATCCCCTGGTGATGGTCGCTGGTGGAGTTAAGCAAATATTTCCCAATTAATAATTTATTATCACTCCTACTATCATGGACCAAGACTCCATTGTGCTAGGTGCTGTACAAACACAGGACAAAAAGACAGTCCCTGTCCCAAGGAGACTACAATCTAGGTATAAGCCAAGAGATGGATATAGACAGGGGACTACAAGGAAATCGACAATGCTGGTCAGAATGACAGGCAGTGGTCTCCATGCACCAGCAGCCTAACCACTGCCAATTTTTTTTGTAGGTATCATGGCAAAGGGGAGTTTTAAGGAGGGAGCTGAGGGTGGACAAAGAGATGCCTTTGTGGATGGTTATGGTGCGCTCCTTGCAAGCGTGAGGGGCAGTGTGAGAGAAAGCACAAAGGTGCTTGTTTGAAAATTTTACAAATGGATGCTGGAGGCTGGCACCATGGGCTGATCGGAAGCGGGAGTTGACATTTCAATAGCACATGAGAGATGACAAGTTGTGAAGAGCCTTGAAAGTGAAGACAAGCAGTTTGTTTGATGCACTAGAGAATGGGGAGCCAGTAGAGTCATTCAGAGACAGGGGTTGTGATGGGTTGGATCACAGAACCCTCC